ATCTTATTAAATTTGAAAGCACAAAGAACAGTGCCAAATTTTGCTTCATCTACAATTTCATTCAATTTTTCATTCGACTAAGTTTGTTGTTCTTTCATGGCTGAAATCCTCAATGTTTTCTGCAAATTATCTGAACACCACTCATCTATCATCATACGTTTATAACAAATTCTTCTCAGTAAATCCAACAACGGCGCAAACAAGTAGTCCTATTTATAACAACAAAAGTTTCCGGTTTTTTGGCCAGTAGTCCTAATTTACAATTGAAACTTTGGGGAAAAAGAGTTTATAATTTTAAATAAAAAAGTTAATGGTATAATAAGGTGTTCAATAATTAAATTTATGGTTTTAAAAGCTGTGAGTTTAACGTTGTTTGAAAGTTGCTTCGATGATGTCCGGTATTTAATAAGTTATGGTCGATTTAATAAAATTACAGACATTAAACTTATGTTTATAGTCACTCTACTGATGGCAAACTTCAAAATATCAAAGATATTGAATTCTACTAATAAAGAACGATGCGGTAACATGTATTTTTTTTACTCACATAGTTTTTACCAATCTTTTCTGTTCCGTCCTGTTTCAATGGTGATCGCTTTCATTCAACTTTACATTTTGGAGTAGTGAGCTGTGATGTATTGATTGGTTGAAGATATATTGTAATTTAAATAATTTTAAAAACCATGATGAAGATAAACCAGAGAAATGTTCAATTGTAATAGTGAAATACCTATCAATAACAACAGATGAGACTGGCTCAATTGAGATGACTTACAATTTACTATTGTATATATTCACCTCGCCAATTCTCAACGCTAAGATAAAATAAATGCGACCATGTGTAAAATTTTTCAACTTTGAGAATTCATATCCGAGATTAGATTACCTGCTAAATAAACTGATAAATTTTTCTAAAGCGATTTCATAGCAACACAGAGACAAACGAGATGAATCATATGCGGATTGATAAAATAACACCATTGGTATACGCAAAAACTGATCGAACCAACAATAGCTCTTCACTATGTTTATTCAAGATTTTAGATCACCGGAAATTTTTATTTTATATTAGATTTATGCCCTTATGTCGTAATCAGTAAGCTTTTCATTTTGAAAAAAAAATCGCAAGTTTCTGATGTTTGCCTGTTCATATAAGAACCGTAAAACTGGTAAAAAATGTGAACAATTATTCACGAAAAATAATTCGAAAAATGATAACCGCAATATATTTAACCTCGAAATAGTTTCACACCACGTTATCATGCTAGTTGTCCAATCTGTTATCTTTTAGGTATTGTACACCCTTTGTTTACTCAGCAATTATTAAGATGTCTGCCCTGCCATAATGAAAATATTGTTCATATTGTCATTTCGATGCTGCTTATTCACTTCGTCATCATGTTATCAAAAACTAATTGTTATCCTCTTATTAGATGTTCTTTCTATTCATCCTGTTTTTCACTTTGCCATTATGTTATCAACGACATGTTCTTAGCCTATTGTTACAAGATGTAACTCGCGTCGTTGTCATTGAGATGTTCATCCTGTCATCATAAAATATTGTTCACCGTGCCATCGTCAAATGTATTTCACCCTCTCATCATGAGATGCTGTTCATCTTATTGTCCACCCTGATGTCAATGAGATGTTGTTCACCTGCCATCATGAAATATTGCACACCCTATCATTGAGATTGTGTTCATCCTGTCATCATGAAGTCTTGTTCATCGTGTTGTCATTGAGATGTTGTTCATCCTGTCATCGTGAAATGTGGTTCACCATGTTGTCATTGAGATGTTGTTCATCCTGTCATCGTGAAATGTGGTTCACCATGTTGTCATTTAGATGTTGTTCACCTTGTCACTGAGGTCATCTTGTAAATTCACTCTATCGTCATGAAATATTGATGGGATGTTTATTCTGTTGTCATCGAGATGTTGTTCACCTTGTTATTAAATATTATTTTACAATGTTGTCGTTGAAATTCTCGCCTTGTTGTCATTGTGATATTCAGTCTGTCATTATGAAATGTTCATCTGGTTGTCCACCCTTATGTTAATGGGATATTGATCGCCTTGTTGTCACTGTCTCACTGATGTGTTGTTCGCTTCGTCATCATACTTCATGTTGTTACTGATTTAACGACTTCTCATTAAGCCAAATTATTTAATCAATTCGGATTTTTTATAAAAACGACCATCTAAATAACTTCGTCATTAATATGAAAAGATTGAACGTTTAATAGAGTCAGCTTAACTAACGAATAGAGCATAATAATAAAAAAAGATTTTCCTATATTCCACTGGATTTTTATCTTTAAATTTTTATATTCATCTACATTTCAATTTGGTCATCCAATGATGAAAAATTTTCACTGGTTCAAACCTTTTGCGAAGATTTTCCAAAAAATATAATTTTTTACGCTCATTCCAAAAATTTATCTTGCAAAATTGTTCCACTAACTTCCTTATACTGTAGAAATTATAAATTGATAGTGAATGTAATATCTAGTTTGCAACTAAATTGTCTGATATGATATTCCACTTGTTGCTGAAGCAAAGAAGTCATTTCCGTTTCATAATCATTTGATACCGAAATAAAACATTCAACTTGCTCTGAACCTCACTTGCAACTCAACAAAATGTGATTTTCATTTTGAATTTTGAACATTCAAAAAAATGTTTCTATCTCTACCATTCTGTTTCTGTCGGTGTCGTTATAAAAAATTAAAAAAGAAGAATAAAAAATAACACAATTTGCCTCAGTAGTAATAAAATATCAGTTAAGCTGTGGAATGTAATTTGGGAAACTGAAGTAGACAAGTTTTTGAAGTTCAACAAAACACGTCGTGGGTCGTGGGTCGTGGGATCGTGAAATCAGGTGTGCTCTGAACATAAAAAATAGAACAAAAAAATTACACGAAACAAATGAAATAGTGATGTCTACTTACAAATTTTTCTCGAAGAGTATTTAGTATCAGATAAGTTTTTTTTAGTGTGCTTTTATTTTATTATTAATGCTATTGTTATATTATAATCCCCATAATTTTAATAATCTTTTAGTATTATATTAACTTGAACTTAGCGGGGATAAAGTGGGTGTTTAGGGAAATCCCGAACAGGTATTCAGGTGATCATACAGGGTGATCATACATTCAGAAGTCAATAGTTTGTAGTATGGCGACCAGCGTTGATCAATCATCCGTGAGAAGATACGCATGCTTTCACGTCAAAAAACGTAAGTACATATTGCCGACATTTTCATTCATTATTTAAATTTACAATACGAATTTTGCAAACGGTGGTGGCAGTTGCACCGATCGATATCAAACACTACTACTTAAACATATCGATGGTCAAAGATGGTTTTGCATTCGAACCATCACGATACAACGCACATTGTCATTTGGGCCACTTTTGCCGCTTGATATTTAATTATCCATTGTTTGTTAATTAAAAATTTTAATGGACAGTTTAATGTGTTTTAATAATAACTTTTTTAATTTTCCCGACAGATTTTTATCTCAATCGAAAGAACTCCGACAGATGATCCTTTGGATTTTAATTATAGTACTTTCGGACACTTGAAATTTAATTTAGATGTTTTAAAATTTGTTTTAAAGTTACGTTCAATTATTATTATTTCTTATTAAAAACTGTTTGTAAATTACTAAATATAACCAATTGATTATCGATTAAACGTTATTATCATTCTATTGAATTGTGTTTCTGATATTGAAAAATAAAATAAATTCATTTGAGAAATTTTATTTCAAATTTTATTTTAAAATATTTCAAAATGCATCGAGTTTAAGATTTTCAAATTAGTCGTAGTTTTGAGACAAAACGTTAACGAGTAATTATTTTTTATGCTGGTTCTGTTTCGCAGTGCATTCAGTGACCTGGATCGAGTATGACGAAAAAATCCTCACCTAGCGCGTGATTGTGTGCGACGAGTAGCTGGGCACGCATTCATTTAGACTGATTCTGAACTTTGCAAGAGTGTATAAGATAACCCATTCATGGATATTAAACATAACAAGACCTCCACTTTGTGAGAAATGTGCAAAACTAATATTCCAATGTATTAATAGAATGTCAAACATTTAGCGAAAGCAGAAAAAATCCAAATTCCAGAAAATACTCAACTTTTAAAAATGAAAACATAGTAAGCCTAATATACATTAAGGAAATAAACATTTTCAACTACATCTAATTGTCACGCTTTTCAAAAGATTCACAACAAAGACCAAAGGTGTAAACATAGCCTATCAGAGCTAAAACGCCGTTAAACTGCAGAAAAAAGATTTGAACATTGACCTGGAAGCATTTGTGTCATCACAAAATGGCAATGAATAATTTCCTTTATAAAATATTGTTACAGACGTGAGGTTGAGATGGAGACTGATTGATAGGAATTGCTAAGCTTGTAAATTAATAAGAGGGTTGTAAATTCATTTACGGACGTGACAGGCACATTTACAAACACATCGGTATCTGTAGAAAGAAGACGACAGGAAAAAGAGAGCGAGAAATAAGTTGAGTGGTACGTTCAACTCAGTTTGCGTTTGAAGTAGTGTTCATCTATCGGAAATCTTGAACCTACGGATAAACGAACTCTTGACTATCGTTGGAAGCTACAGCACGGTGGTGGAGATGTAGAGATTATTTAAGTTATAGCATCGGTGTTGGTAGTATCGAGGTCGAGGAGGTTACAACAATATAATAATTGTGTTACATTAATGCTGTTTTCACTTCCAGTAAAGTTTATTATGAAAAAATACAATAGAGAAACATCAGTACAAAATATGTTAACCTCTCTTGTCTAATAAAATTTTTCAAGTACTTTTTATTAAAAGAGGAGTTTTTCTTTTTTATCATCTTCCTGTTTCAAATGAGGACGATAGTGAATGCGAAGACATCGTGTTATTAACGTTTAATCAGAACTAGCTGTCTACGCAGCCTGTAGATTGCCTAAGTGAATATGCGTGAATCTACGCGTCATACAATTTGCACGCAATAGGCGAGGTTTCCACGGCATTCGAATCTCGTCTCTGCAACTACCAGGTGAGGCGTCTCAACCATTACGCTTATATATGCTATCTAAATGCAATTATATTATCAAATATTATCAATAATTTAAAAAAAAGAACAATATTAGTAGTTGCATTATTATTATTACCGTTATTATAAAAAAGTTATATTAATAACATTTGGAATGAGAATAATAATGATAGTAAATGTATTATTGTTAATATTATTTATAAATAAAAAAATGTTATAATTATTACTAAGGTTGTTGTTATTAATATTTTTACTACTGGCACAAACATACAGCAAAAACACCATGGATTGTAAATCATTCCATACTGTTATCTTTGGTGTTCAAATCATTCCAAACACATCATTCGCATTTTTTCCCTAATATTAAATAAAACTTTAAGGATTCAACAAAAAAAAAATCACGTACCGGGTTTGTTTTAACCAACAAAATATATGAATTGTTCTTAGAATTTTAAAAACTAAAAAAATAAAAACAATGTCTGTCCTTCATTAGTCGCATTATCATGTTTGATATATTGTCATCATCCTTATAATTACGTCGTCATCACATCAGACACGTGGTTATCATCGCAATTGAATCATCACATCTTATCAGGTGCACACCATTCACTTTCAATGTTTTAGCTAAGAAATTTTTAAAAAGATTTTTTTTTACATAAAAAAGCTTCACTTGTCTTTCAAATCACATGTCTTATGAAAACATAATAGATCATACAGCAAGAATATAAAAAAAATTACTGCCTCCATTTTGAGACAGTTCGATTTTTAAAACTAGCATCATCAGAGCATAACTTCTTATTATAATTGACGATTACAATCGTCTTTAAAACTTTGCAAAGTATCATTCGGCACCTCTATATCGAGAATGAATGAATTATTAGTTACATCACATTCACTTTTAATGTCGTCAGAATTCATCTCATTATCAATGTTTATATCATTATAATGGATACCAAAATTCACTTTTGCAACTTCATCTTCTTCTGTTTCAGCTGGTGGAATGATTTTCACTACGTGGGTGGACTGCATTGGTTTCCCGCCGTCGCTGACCCACTGCACCAGTGCTTCTAAATCCGCCATCATCGTAAATTTGAATTCATCACGTGGAGCAAAGCAGTTAAAAGACGGATTGATGCTCTCAAATTCAATGGCAGTATTAATGCCGTTGGGCAACAGTAGGATGCGGTTGTTCTCGTTGAAGCAGATGTGGGCACGTTTCGGCAATTTTATGCTTTTCGCAGGCTTGTTCATTTTTTGCAGCTTCGTGAATAGTTTCGTGAGGGAACTTGTCTGGAAAGTTTCATTGCTGCTGTTGGAGTTAACTGGAGATGATGCTATCGTCGATTGGTTTTCTGAAGATTCGTTCCTCGAGGACAAGTTTGTGAATTGATCTAAAAATCCAGAATCAAGTCTGCCGTTGTTGTTCGTATCCACTGATTCAATTCTATCATGTTGATTTAAAGAAGTGTCTTCTTTTATTTGTGTACTTTGTTGAAAGTTGTCGTTCTTTGAAACGCTATAAACATAGTTCCGTGTTAATGGTTCGTCGTCTCCGCGCATCTTGTTGTAGCGGAGAAATATCTTTAGGAAGAGATTGCATTGGCTGTTTGAATGATCGTCGGTTTCTATATAAAGTTTAAAATTATCAAAACTAGTCTGATTGTGCATTGCCAGCAAGTAATCACAGTTGTCTATGATCTCACACGCCTCCTTCATTTCCACACTTTGTTGTTCCTTTCTAAAATAGTTCAAGACGGAGGTAGAGATTTTTGAGACAACCCATCTTACGTTGCTTCTTTTTTTCAAAACATCGGAGTTGACGAGAAGGACGTTGACGAAGCACTCACTTTGCAGAGTTTTTGATGTTTCATTGATCATTTTTTTGATGCTGTCAGATAAGTTAGGCTCGGTTAAAATGACCAGGAGTAACCTCATGTGAAATAGTCGTCCTGAAACATACGTTAAAATTAATGTTTTATATTTTTTCAATTTTTATATCATTATAAATACGCAAACTTAGGATTATGTTTTTATTGTTGTTACAAGTTTTGTGGCCAGCATTTTAAAAAATATTTTTTACCAAAAAATTTTGTTAGCGATAATTTGTTGAAGACTTTTTTTTATAACGAGTAAAACATTTATTATTAACGTCAAAACTGACATTAAGTTAGTTGTAAATTAAATTGCAAGTTTTAAATTAGTTAATTTATTTTATATCTGTATAATAAAATTTTACTAGCTATAAAATATTACAAAACTAGAAAGAACGTCATTAATGAGCGTCTCTAGACATTGCTGGAGCATAAACGTTCATGAGTCATTAAAAACATCCATTACGTTAGCTAATAACCTGAATAATAATTTTGATAACCATTTAAATGTTAACAAACGGATGATAATGATTTTCATTAATATTTTCTCACTTATAAAATCCCAGTAGCAGCAAACGAGTACGAGAAACACGAGAAAGAGCGTAGGCAGAGCTATTCCGAGTACAATGCCAATTAGACCCGCGTAAGAAAATGTAGATGATTCTGAACTGGTCCTCACAGGAAGGGCCTGTCGATTTGTAGAGGCCAGTGGCGTGGTTGTTGTGGTTGTCGTTGTTTCTGCAAATGTTAATTCTTTTGTGTGTGGCGTGGAGTTATTTCATTACACCGTTCTAGTTAGATGATCATTTATATGACTTGGAGAACATGTTACAAATTTACACTTGTGCTACGGCAGACAACATGGTTGTAATATGCACCGTTTTAAAGTTGCAGTGACCTGGTTCGATGACAAACTGATTCACTCCAATCATCCAATCATAATCAATATTTTATGATATGTCATTTTACAGGTATTCATGCCAGCTGATTGTAATTCGTTTTCCATTGCAACAAAATCGTGTGGCAAATCGTAATTGGAAAAATGTAGTTTTGATAGTTTTAGATTAGGGTTAGAGTTAGACCAGTTTAAATTTTTTACACATGACCTAATCTTTGTCTTACACGGAAGAAGACAACAGCATTGAAAACGCAAAGCATCTATATACACAAAATGTATGTATAATATATAAAAATAAATTTAAAGTTTTAACCGATAACAAAAAACTCGAAGGTTGTTTCTGTGCAGCCCAGCAGCCTGCCATCACACTCACAGAAAACTTTCGGATAAAGCTGAATAAAGTTCAGAAAGTAGTTAAGCCGGTTGTTATTTGCATATTTCAAGTGCAAAATATAGTAACACGCTAATTTTTAAAAACCATTTTCATTGCCAACTAGATTCAAAAGTGACATTTTATTTAAAAGTTACAACATTTTGTTTTAAAAATTAAATTATGTTATACGTGTTAACTGTTGAAAACATATTGAAATAGTGTAACACCATGAGAAAATTTTTGATGGATAATTTCCACGTGTATTGGAGGAGCACCTACCGTGGCAAGGTATTCCCCAGGCACCACACTTTCGTACGGAACACACATCTTCTTGTCGAATGCTGCCTGGAATTACAAATTTCCACCACTTACAGGCAGTTATTTTAATTAAAAAAAATTTGGCGTTATATAAGTTGGCAAACAAAGACTGCAGGTCTTGTCACTTTGAAATCGCTAAATCATTTATAAAGTTTAAAGTAACTCGATCAGATTACAAAAATTTTGAATTCTTTGTTGATTGAATATTTCTTGGAAATAAAAATTTCAAGTGAGCAAAAAAAAAAAACATTTTACTTTGATATCAGATACGTCGTAATCTTTTATGTAACTGTTGTCACTGAAATCTCTTACGTCAAATTTCAGTTTGCTGATAATATTAATTCGATAGGATGTGAAGTTGAAGGCAGGTGGAGCTCCGAGGAAGCAGACCTTCAGGCTGTTGGAAGACAAATTTTGGTTCACCCACATGGAAGCCACCCACTTTTGACTGCACCCATCTTCAAAATTTTGAAAGTAAATTTGACATCAATATTCAAAAATTCAGTTGCTGATATTTAAATTCAAAATATTGCTCTGTAGTTACAAAGCGTTTTGATACCCCATCTGAATCAATTATGAATCTCAAATCTGAGGAGTTCACAGTCTTTTATCACGTCACGCTTTTATTAACTTTACATGTTTGTTTGTTTGTTTGTTTGCTTACTTTTTCTAGTAACGAATCAAAAAAAAATATAATTTTCAACCGTTTGGTTTTTACACCAAGAAAAGGATTAAATTTAAAAAAATTTGTGTTAACTAAGGCCATTTAAAGATCAGCACACAACGTCATCACCTTCAACATTAGTTGTAAACAGTCCAACGCTGAAACTCAGTTGAGCCACCGATTTCTCGCCTTTGCTCGGAAGACTTTCAACTGTTATCGTATATCGAGTAGCTGGGAATGGTACGATGCACGTGTGAGATATCCACAGGCCGTCATTAACTCTGCGATGATCTTTTTCTGATATTGACATCCGGAATGTTCTCAGGATTTGTTTCAGCTCGGATTTTTTTGCAAAAATATCATTGTATACAAAGGAGGCGTTCAACAAATATCCTTTTAGAAGGGTGGTCGAATCTGTTTTAATGGGTCGAGAAACGTTTCATTTTATGTGCTCCAATCAACAACAAATTATAAACAAATAAAATTAAAGTTTTACAAAAATTCTTCTAAGCAGGGATTTTGACAAGAAATTTTTTTTAAATTAAAAAATTAGTAAAATGACAAATCGTCAATTGTTAACAAATAATACACTTATGTTTTTATTTTAAAAGATGAAGTTACCATTTAAAATGCCATCAACAGCATTCTCACACATCCATATTATAATCACAACAATCCTTTTCATGTTAATCAGTTGAAACAAACACCATTGTTCATTCCACGACTTACAGGAATCTGCAACTTTCCAGGTGATGTTGAGATATTTGTGATTCTCCTTCGATAAGAGGTCAACAGTGAGGTCCAGTGGCTTGTCAGGATATGCCAGAACACTTTCATTAAGGCTGACCGCTGTTGTTGTCAACAATTTTACAAAAAAACTTTATAATGTTTTTATTTTTGTATTTAATATATTATTAATAAAAAATTGGTGTTTATTGAACACAAAGCGCAATTGTAGCAGAAAACGCATATGTTTAAACAACCAATTAAATTGCAAAATTGCCAAAAAACATGTGTAAAATATAATGTGACAATGGATATAAAATTAACCCCAGCTTGTGTCCAGGCCTTTTATATATTCGCATTTTGGCTCTTTCAACTATAAAAATAAATTTAATATTTTCAAATCAATCGTAAAATCAAATTAACTGAAATAATTGTTATGAAGAACATGAATGAATTATTGTAGCACACCACCTTGCTTCGTGACGTCACGATAATTGTTTCCATGCCATTGGTCACCGACTTGGCTCAGCTATTACGCGATGGCAGGGTTCGAATACAAGCCTGACCGAAACTCAAAGATCATCATACGCGGATGATGCGGTGCTTGCGCGTGCATACGCGATGTGTATGTGCGTCGTGTGGCGTACAAAGTGTGCAGCAGTACAGGCTTAAATATGAGTACAGAATAAAAAACATGCAAGCTACTCTGCGTGTTACTACTGAGTTTCATTATAAAGAATAAAAAAATATCTTACATACTCAACTTTATAGGACCTAATCACAACGCTCAGTATGTAGAAATTAATATAATAACATTTTATTCGCGCGTTATATGAATAATGTTGATTTTGATGATTTCGTAAATTATTCGTAACTTATCAGTTTTTACGTTGCAAAAACTTAACTAACAAATTGTCCTAAAAGTACAAATTTGAAGTTCAATATATGAACAGATATGAATGATGTCTTATATAAACATTTTCTAATTTCTCTTTATTCACTAAAAAATCAAATGTTACAGCATGCGAAATAGCAAAAAATTTAACAAAGTGACCAACACAAACGAAATTAAGTAAAGTTGTGAAGACGAGGCAGGCCCTACGTGTGTAAAGTTAACTATTGACTTCTAATGGGAAAGTGAATAGACGCAAAATAAATAATATATGTACTTATATAATTATATATATACATATATATATATATATATATATATATATTATACGTCTTATATAATTATATATATACATATATATATATTATACGTCAAAGTTCATCTTGACAAAGTCAATATTTCCCTATATATACAGCAAGGAGCACTGATGATGATTCATTCGGAATCGAAATATGGCCTTATTTGCAGCATGAATTCGAAAAATAATTTTATTTTGAATTTTAATAAACTAAACGTTCACCAAAAAACTTTAGTGAGAAAAATTGAAAAAACGAACTACAAACATATTAGCGCCAAACATTCGGTAGAATTTATAGAATATTGTAAAAATTATATATATATATATATATATATACAACAAGAAAAAATAAACAAATTATGGTTGTTATTGACTTTTAAGATATTTTAGTTGTTTTGGAACGAATATTTCTTAAGTACTTATCAGATATATGAATTAAACTAAATCGCCCCGGTTTATGATCTCCTTCTCGTTCTCACTTAAACACTCTTTTGCTAAATTTGCGTTTATTTTGCTGGCCCTTTTCTCCGGAAGTCTCTGCATCCTTCTCTAACTACATCTCCATCACTTACGAAGTTAAGAGCCGATCTAAAAACCCATTTGTTCGCGAAAATAGCGCTAAACAAACTAATTGATTGATTGATCGATCAATCGATTGAATGATATGATTGATTGATTGATTGATTGATTATTGATTAATTGATTCATTGATTCATTGATTGGTCGATCAATCGATTGAAGGATTGATTGAATGATTGATTGAATGGTGGTGTAGTTAGTCCCATCACCTATGGTACCAAAAATTAAAACTAAAATGTTTATAACTATTTGGCCCTTTTTACTTGCTGCCTGTAGCTGTCGTATAAATTGCAAGGCTGCCAGATGGATTCATCTCCTGGGCACCGTTCCTTGTTTGACGTCGTTGCATTACTCTCATTCAAGTAATTTACATTTTGGTCGTTATTGTCATAGTCGTCGTCGTCGTTGTTTGAGAACGTTAGGTTGAAACCTTCCAGGTATATTTCACTGGTCTCAACCGTCTTTGATGAAGTTGTGAAGAGGATGGTGATAATGATGATGATGGCGGTAGTGATGATATTTTCACCTTTAGTCATTTTGCTACGATTTGTTGGATATGTTTAAACCAAATGAGGAATTTGTTTAATCCAGTATTGTTTTGTCTTGTTGAGGTTGAGGTTGTCACATGGTGGCGCATTAGCAAGTTCATCGAAAACACTTTCAAATGCTGAAATTTTGTAATAGCTCTTAATTTAGTAACATTTCAGTGCTTGTTGTAAAATATTTAGTTTAGAACTTAGCTGCGAAAAATAAAAATGAAAAATTTCAAACATTTTAAAACTGTTGACGGCCATTCATTATTATATGGCTCATTCACGTGCTGTTCATCGAACGACACAGCATGTGAATGATGAAACATTTTATTATTCAGCTGTTCTCAGAAAACAAGGGAAATTTTTACTTGCGTATTTTATACGTGTAAATAACGTTACGATTTGTTACGTGCAATTAACTGAACATTCCTCTGTGATGGAGTGCGCGTGTGCTTGCATTAAATTGTTTTGCTGTCTTCTTCCATAATTGCGTAAATTGTACTTCAGCTATTAATCTAATTGTTTGGTTGAGTGATTCGTGATGAATCATTTTTACGTACCTTTCCAGTAGAATTAAAAGTTATTTAGTGGCGCATGGTGCTATATTGGACATGTTCATTTTCAGCTGGCCTGCTGGAAGAACAACTGAGGCAACCGTTGAAACGGTGCAAGTTTTGATTCGTTTGTGCCTGGAGCACGTGATTTGATTGGTTAACTTATTCTACCATCTGAACTAAATTGAACCTAATATTATAAAGTCCTTATATTTAAATAAATAATTTCAACGACTAGCACATTTATAAAAGCGATTCACAAAGCAGATTTTGTTCGATGAATGGGGAAACAGAGGGAGCATAGCAGTTTCGGTTATGAATAATATGAATAGTGGCATGTCAACGTGAAAATTTTCTAAAGCGAGAAAAATGAAAGGCTCATAAATTAACCGGTTCAAGTTTATATAATGAGACTGTTGGGAGTTATTGTGAAATTTATCCACATATTACAAAATTGGTTAACAAGCCACTACTAATTTGTCGGGACAATGATGATTTCATAAATTACATTGATATGAAATTATTTCATGGAATACCGGTATATATTCACATCAGAACTGGATTGTTGTCAGATGCTTCCTCCAAGAACCTCACGCCATCTTCCACTTCATTCCACACACAGATGTTCAAACCAATCCATCCTGTAAGCTGATGATGGAAAGCAGGTGCACGTTGAATTTCATGATAAGTTGTGACTACAAAAACTCTAAAAAGTGCTTGCTCTTGAGAAACGTTTCGCCAACAACCAACCTCAGTCACGTCCTTGATGGGTGCATGTTTGGATGTTCCAATTCAACCATCAAAATTAATACCGTTTAAACTATTCATTTACGTAGAGACTTAGCGGGTATTAAAAAGATGGACATTTTATTTAAACTTTTTATAATCAAAGTGCTATTGAAAATAATATGTAATGTTGAGTTTGTTGGCCTCTGCCAACCTGCCTCTTGTAATGTTGACTGCGAATTTGAATTTCAGACCATTTTATAAAACGAACTTACATTAACAATTACCTCGATAAATTTTTTTTTAAATTTTGCAAATCTCTTCAAAACTTTTCAAACAGCTATTTTAAAATATAAACCGAAAATGAGACAATTTTTCGAGATCGGATGCGTTGTTTTCATTCGTTTTTTATGGACTTGGGTCCATAAAATGAATCTATCGAGTTTCTACCAATACATGCAATTCACAGCAATTACCTCATTTCATTTGGTATCGAGATTTAAAAATTTTAAATCAACAAGCATGCAGTTTTTCTAAATTGTTTTATATAAAATATTACTATTTTTGTGGTTATGTTATAATATTGCACATACAGTTAAACACACATGAGCGTATATTTAAAGTCGTATATATATATATATATATATATATATATATAGGTTAATAATAAAATCATTTCATATGTGTATGTATGTATGGATGTATGTATGGATGGATGGATGGATGATGGATAGATGATGGATGGATAGATGATGGATGGATGGATAAATGGATGGATAAATGGATGGATAAATAGATGGATGGATGGATGGATGAATGATGAATGAATGGATGGATGGATGATGGATGGATGATGGATGGATGATGGATGGATGATGGATGGATGAATGGATTAACGGACGGATGAACAGGTAAATGAATGGATGGATGAATAGACAAATGTACGGATAGACAAACTAATGAACAAAAGGATGTAAGGAGTAAGTAGCAGACACATCACAGACACATCACACAACCAAACCATCCAACTCTTACACGCACGCATCCAAGACTCATACGAACATGTACAAACATTTCATAAACAACTTGCACACCTTCACACACAACACAGAGTTGTGCACATGTTTAACGCACTTGCACAAACAAACACCAACTTTTACACACTTCAACAGTTTAGCACACACACACTCACACACACACACACTCACACACACACACTCACAGTACGCCAAATAATAAATCAGAATTTGAAACAGACATGTAAACACTGAATTGAAATGAATTTCGTTCGTTCATTTCTCCACTTGTCATTTCTTCGTCCGTTCTTTCGTCCGTTCATTCGTTCGTTCGTTCGTTCGTTCCTTCGTTCGTTCACTAGATCATTGACTCACTTGTTAGGTAGTTTGTTGGACCAGGCAGACGATTTTTTGCTCTCCTGCCTTGACTGGGTTTCATCAATTTTTAAATGCGAATGAGTTCAACAAAAGTCGAGTGGTATGTTTTTAGGGAGCAATTCAGTTAGAAAAATTCAAACAAGTTGAAATAATTTTAATAAATGATAATTATTATCGTCAGATGTTTTGCCTACAAATGTTTGTGAGTTTTCACAAGTTTTTTCTTGTATGCTTGCCTGTTATGTATGTGCATGCACTCAAATGTGTGTGTGTGTTGTGTGTGTACGTGTACTGAAGTAAGTGTGCATGTGTGTGCGTATGTGTGTGTAGATGCGTGTATATGTATGTGTGTGTTGCGGGCAGACTGGTATGTGAATCAATTGAAATCCCTGAAGAGACATTAAGATAGCTTTCAAACAAATGTACGAACATCTAATGTGCTCTGTTCTGCTGTCAGTTTGTGCGTGTGCGTGTGTGTGTGCGTGTGTGTGTCTCTGTATGAATATATGTCTGTGTGTTTGTATATCTGTGCTTTTGTTTGTATATATATATTTCTATATATATATATTGTATATATATATATATATATTGTATATATATATATAATCTATATTATACATACATATATATATATATATATATTCTATATTATACACCTTTCTATTGTTGTGCACATACACACATGTATATGTATTTTAAATAAAAGTTTACACACACACGCACGCACACACACACACGCACAGACACACACACACATATATATATATGTGTTGAAAATATTGTTTAAAGTATCTTAAGTATCCATCCATCTATCTATCCGCCCCAATATTTCTTTAAAAGAATTTCATTTCTCTGCACATGAACGCATATGAACTCACTTCACGTGTTTTTATATGCCTGTTTTCCTGTGTTTGTTTGTCTGTCTTTTTGATTGTTTGCTTGTTTGTTTTTCTGTTTGTTTGTTTATGTGTGTATGTTTATGTATTAGCACTTATGTGTATATACTTTTATGTTTGAATATTTTATATGTTTAGTGTGGCTGTAAGTTTGTATATTTGTATGATTGTATGTTTTGTATGATTGCATGTTTTATATGTTTAGTGGGGTTGTATGTTTGTATATTTGTATGATTGTATGTTTGTATGATTGTATGTTTGTATGTTTCGTGATGATGAGTGAATGAGATAGCTGTGTTTGTTATAGATATGCAAATAAGTTGCTATTAAGCAAGTGGGTTGGTGGAGATGTTTGTTTGTAGTTATGGTGATGGTGGTGGTAGTTGTCGTTATCAAGTGGTTATTTGTTATTATTGTTTGTTTGTTTGTTGGTTTGTTGTTTTTTTGGTTGGTTGGATTGTATAGTTGGTGGGTTTGTATGGCTGGTTGGTTTGTATATTTGTTTATTGGTAGGTTGATTTATATGTTTTTTTGTTGGTTGGTTTGTATGTTTGTTTGTTGGTTGGTTGGTTTGTATGTTAGTTTGTTAGATGGTTTGTATGTTTGTTTGCTGGCTGGTTGGTTGGTTTGTATGTATGTTTGTTTGGTTGGTTGGTTTGTATGGTTGGTTGGTTTGTATGGCTAGTTGATTTGTATATTTGTTTGTTGGTTGGTTGGTTTATATGTTAGTTTGTTGGTTGGTTTGTATGTTTGTTTGCTGGCTGGTTGGTTGGTTTGTATGTATGTTTGTTTATTGGTTGGTTGGTTTGTATGGTTGGTTGGTTTGTATGGCTGGTTGGTTTGTATATTTGTTTATTGGTAGGTTGATTTATATGTTTGTTTGTTGGTTGGTTTGTATGTTGTTG